AAAGGTCGATTTCAAGAATAAACAGAAGCCACGAGGATAGATGTAAAGCACCGAGCGACTGGAAACGAGCCAATTTTTCGAATAATTCGGTCAGCCCCGAGGGCCTGCGCAATAAGCTACTGCGCAGCGAGGTGGGATGAGCGTGCGACCAGTTGCAAGTGACGGGCCAATGTACTTACCGCGCTCCTATCGGATTCCGATCTTTCATTCGCATTACGCAGAACTTTTTACGCGCTTACCGATAAACGGCCTCTTCCATTTTTCACGGGGGTCATTTAAATACGAAGATTTGTAATTTCCATTCCGAATGCAGATCGCTCCGGAATCGACCATCATGGCGGATGGTTTAATTGATTGCTTGGTGCAGGGACGAATCGAAAACGATCGTGGGCGTCTACGCAGGATCTTTGAACTCTGGTTATTGTATAAAAGATGCGTTTGAAGATTCGCGTATACTTTTATACTATCGTGAAAATAACACGAATCAGCGGTTCTCAACCTGCGATATGCGAGTGAAAACAAATTATATGAAATTTTTTAAGTACGTATAGCGGGGTATATTACGATGAATAAGTATGAGATACAAAGTGATACTTGGTCTAATATTGGTGGTATGCGAGAAAAAGGATTGAGAACCGCTGGTGTAAGTGATTGATCCTCTTAAACCTACCCTTCGCCTGCAGAAGATAGCTACAACGCCGGTGAAATGTTGGTTCATAGATATAGTAAATCAGGCTTATCTGTGTACTTGCTTTACTATAAATCTGTATTCGTATATGCTTTGTACTTTTTCAATTCTCAATTTATGACGCAAAAGAGGTTTTGAATAAATTCTGCGCTTCCACTTTGTTTACTCGCGTTTCATTCTCGTGTTTATTTCTATTGCACGCGATATCTACTTGCGAGACTTGAATTGTAATAAATCAAAAGAATAGATCAAAATCCAGGCTAAGCAAGTCTAAGATTTCAGGTATCTGAGCAATAGTAATTATCTGTAACTTATTTCGTTTCCAGTCTACTCAAACCACCAGCGATAACAGTGCTTCCTATAAGATTACGACAATGCTAAAAAGACCTGCACTATAAAAGCCTAAAATTCTAAATTCCTGATCAATAATCATGCCTATACTATTTTCAACCTGTTCCCCGACCACCATCGATAGCGCTATTGCCTTTATTCTCCCGTGTTAAATCGTAACATACAAATCACGTGTAACAGTTCGTAAAGAAACCATTAAATCTCTTTCACAAAATTCGAAATCAAATCGTAGTCCTTACAGTTAAGTTAGTCTAAGTCCAACTCTTGTCAAATAATTATATTCTAACGACTCTACTCTTTCGGTGACCAAAAGGTTCAGGATCACGAACAAACGAGTCAAATTTAGAAGTTCCTCGAAAAAAGAACGAAAAATTCTCTACAGTGCACGCTCGAAGGCTCGCAAGATGGCGTGCAGTGACGCGAGAAATACGACGCGCAAATGGATTTCGACTTTCCATCCAGCGCCATCTTCGTCTCCTCTCCGACCACTCTGAAACACGTGCTGTTTCGAGATCAGAATACAGCCGAGCCAGCTTAACTGTCGCACGATTCGTCTCGCGCTACGACACTTATCCAGGCAGGCCGATGTTCGATATATTTTTAATTTAATTCTAATTTACGAAATCGAACCCACTGGTATAGTGCGTTGGAGAAGAGGCAGTGATCACTATTGATCGAAGATGGTGACAAAGATCATCGCTCGCTATTTTCGACCAATAGCGATCATTGCCTGTGATCAAGGCAGTATCAACGGAGTTAGCTGGTATGAGTGAGGACGTGGTGTGTGCTTCCCCATCGCGCCAGGGGGGAACCTGCGAAGGTGTGTTCAACTGGGGTGCCCTGGCAATTGCGTCGGCTCGTGAAGTCCAGGGTGCTCCAATGTCGCGGTAGGATGGCCATCGTGGGGGTTTTAGTGGGCTAGAATCCCACATAACCTCACCCCCTCCCCTAGAGGGATCGGGCATCTTTCGAAGATTTCCCCCACGTAAAGAAAAAAAGAAAAGTATCAGCGGAGTTAATTAGTCGTGAGAATGTAAATACGCTGTGCCTTCTTTTGCCGAACCCACAGTACACCCTCGTATTACCGCCTGCGGTGACGGTCGCTGGTCAGCGCCAAAGAACAGTCGCACATCAGAACTTTGGTTCAATCCTAATCAAGTCTAGCTCAATTAACCTTAGAGTAGGCCTCATCCCTGCAAATATCGTCACACCCACGTATTGGGCCTTATAACCTCACGAAACTTCGAACACGATAGTTGTAGTGATTGAGACGCAACAACGATCTCTTCCTAGTCCAACTCTTCGTTGAACCGTTTCACTGAATTCAATTATACGGGCGGAACACGTTTATCCGATAATTTAGCGGAACAAAATGGGAATAAAATGGGAATAAGAATGGAGAAGCGATCGGTAAGCGTGGAAGTTAATTGCTCGGAATTAAAATCAACGCGTTGCATCGGAGCAGGTTCCATGGACCGTGAACTACCACGGGCACAACCATCGAGATCTCCTTTCATTGCTAGCCTACAAACGCGATTCAAGAGACTAACAGATGCAATCGAACGTTTGATGGCCGCTGAAGTGAACATGCAACGAAACGAGTATTAGTTGTTCCTCGGGGAATCTGTAAACAGATAACACGGAACGATCGATGTAACGTTTCCCTGTTGGAGGTATCTGTTGCATTGCAAGTCGTTCGATATAATCGCTGTACTTTCGCACCTATTTCAGTCCTTATTTCAGGCTCGGATCGTTAACATAATTTTTGAATCGAAGAGAACGAGAAAATGTTAATAGAGAACAACATACGTGGATGATAAACACGATAAAATTCGTGTATCAGTGTGTTTAGAATCGAATTAAAAATTATTCCGATACCGATAAATACAGGCACTAATTTAAGTAATATTGGTAATAATAATAATGTAATTTAAATAGTAAATTTATTTACGTCAAATTGTAATTGAATTAAGTCTACGACCATGAAGTCTAATACTCCAAGACTGGCGACTCTGTGTCTAACTTGAGTTGAAGCTGACCCTAACCTCAACGCATTTCCTTAATCAAATACATACGCACATATGTATATACGTATAAGCCGTTCATTTAGGAAATCGGTTACTCCACAAAGTAGAAAATATAAATTTATTTAAAAAATAAAAATTGGTCAAGTGCTTTGGCGGGAAAATTTAAAAAAATTTTAAACATGAAGTTAACGACTTCCTTCTGTGAATAGCTTATATATTTGTTATGTGCTTTTTGCTACTAAGACACGTTTAATTATAGCAAATATTCGATTTAAGTACGCTTCCTGTACATTTTACAATGTCTAACCTAAATATCCTCCCTGTTCCTACATTTTGCTCGGGCCAACATATCTCACTCGTTCGACATAAATATCATCATTGCCAGGATATTATTGCGGTAGAATACAAATTTTCGAGAGTATAGAAATCATAGCGAAGATCTTTTATGAGATCGCGAAATATACCAGTGACCCCATATAAAACGATCGATTTAATCGACCCCGAAGGACGGTTCGACCGACAAGGAACATTAAGTGCATCCACAAAGAAACTAGATACCTTGAACGATTTTGCGATATAACGTTCCGATGGTTTTGTTTCCAATACAGAGTACCTTGGTCGAAACGCGGACAGATACTGTCCCGAATAAATACAACTACAGAAATAGAAATATAATTCTGACTTTTGTATGATGACGAATAATAATTTAAGTTTAACATTTGCTATTCACAAAAATATACTCCTCCAAACTGGAAAAATAAATATTCCGGATCTTAACCTCACCTAGCATTATCCTTAATTATTTGTATATTATTAAAATTAATACGAAGATGATAATTATGAACAAATGAAATTAACGCAAAAATAATAATTATGAACGAAAATTAAATTAACGTGAAAATAATAATTATGAACAAAAATTAAATTAACGTGAAAACAATAATTATGAACAAATTAAATTAACGCGAAAATAATAATTAAGAACAAATTAAATCAACGCAAAAATAATAATTATAAAAAAATTAAATTAACTTGAAAATAAGAATTACGAAAAAATTAAATTAACTTGAAAATAAGAATTACGAAGAGACTAAGTTAATATTAAAATTATTCGCAAACGTAGAGGAGCTCAAAAACGATGAGCACGGGGATAACTTAGTAGAACGAACGCGAAGTAAGGAGATTTTTGTGGAAAAAGAAAAACGAATTTCTAACAATTCGTTGCGCGAACGTATATTCTAGCGGCGTAGGTGGGTCAGAAAGAGGTTTTAGACGTTCCTGTGGGATCGTGTAACAAGACTGGTTCCATAAAACGATCGATGTAATCGGTCCCAGGGGTCGGAGAAGCCCAGCTAAGGCGACTAAGGGCGCGGTGCACCCTGTGAAAGAGCGAGCTAAGCCAAAAGATTCGCTGCGATGGAGAATAGGCACCATAGCTTTTCATGACTGCACCCACCACTCCCCGGATGCCACTTTCCTTGAAATATGGCCGTGACTAGACGCAAATTCGTCTACCATAAATAACAATCGTGAAATTCCTACGACGTCATAGACCGTTGCGCTGTTTCCCCACTTCTCTAGCTATACCCTCCTTTCACCCACGTGTTACGTTCGATGGCAGCTTCCACCATTAATCGTTTTAAAAATTCTTCGAAATCGCGGAATACATTTGAACCGTATTAACGACGCTCGTTACAAGAACGTTGCGCTTGTTGGAAATACACGACACAAGATAATTGCGTTACTATGTTCCATTTATGTTCCGTATTATTCCCTGACAGCGATACCGAAACCTTACACGTGGAACGTACCCGGCAACATTGTATAGTATGTCAATATTTTTACGACGTTTCCGAACGTTGATATATAAAGACTACTTCTTTATAGGTTAAAATTAATTTTAACGCATAGCGTGGTAAATCATATACACTAACCTGCTTCGTAAATCGTCCGTGCGTTAGCTCCTTAATGAGAACTTCCCCTGGTTCGATGTTAGCGTGGGAATATAACAGCAATGGCACTTATATACATCTCGTAACACACCACTCGTAACCCGTAACAAGCTCCGACTCGTCTGCGTAGAATAACACGTCGCGAGACGATGCGCGATTCCTAACCTACGTTCGACGCGTACGAAACTACGACTCGTGGTACTGTTTATACCGGTGGTCGACTCGAAACGAACGAACGACCAGCTCCAACTTGACTGCGTAGAATAGCACGCCGCGACGCGATGCGTGATCCCCAACCAACGTTTGATTATTGCAAAAGGCTACGACTAAATATATTGTTTATATCGGTGTTCCACTCGAAACGAACGAACAGCCACTGATCCACGTTTCACTTTTACTTCGCAATTACTAAGAAATCACAGCGTCGTGCTGTATTTCCCTAAACACGTACGAACTGAAAGTCCACGCTTCTCGAAGCTTCGATTCGACTGTGTAGACCGGCACGCCGCGACACGATGCGTGATTCCTAACCAACGTTCGATTTTTACGAAATGTAACGACCCGATGTATTGCTTATATCGATATTCAACTCGAAACGAACGAACAGCCACTGATCCACGTTTCACTTTTACTTCGCAATTACTAAGAAATCACAGCGTCGTGCTGTATTTCCCTAAACACGTACGAACTGAAAATCCACGTTTCTCGAAGCTTCGATTCGACTGTGTAGACCGGCACGCCGCGACACGATGCGTGATTCTCAACCGACGTTCGACCCTTACGAAACCTTACGACTCGATGTATTGTTTATATCGGTGTTCGACTCGAGACGAACGGACAGCTACTGAGCCACGTTTCTCTTTTGCTTCGCAGTTACGAAGGAACCACAGCGACGCGCTGTATTTGCCTAAACACGTACGAACTGAAAGTCCACGTTTTCCGAATTCTTGTCGAGCTAAGCATACTTGTTACTGTCCTGACGTATTTCTCACTCCTCTTGAATTCACCTTTGGACTAACACTGCTAATTAATATTCGTAATTACTAACATTGAAAGCAATATTGACTCGTGTAATAATTACGTTTCGGACAAAGACGTTCGTTCGGTAAGACAACCTTTCAAAAACTAATCGCAAGTTAGTCAAATTCCGCCGACAGATGTCGCGTACATCCATTATACGAACGAAAATAGACACAATTGAACAAGGAAGTCGCGCCAAATTTTCCGATTGGCGACATCCGTGATTTCAAGCGTCTACTATTTGCATACTATTTTAATTGTATCGAGCAAGAATAAATATATTTTAGTTTCCAAGGCAAAGTCAAATATTCGACCCTTTTCCTTTCAATGAAATCTATTAAAATGCACGAGTTTTGTATCTGTCGCGAGCTACACCGACATTGAATCAAAGCGCTAAATCAAACTAAATAAATGACGGTCCAACGACTTGATTGATTATTATACTAGGATTCTATTTCACGTATCGTCGTTAACCAGTGGCGGCGGACGACGATTTCTACTATCGTTTTAGCAATTTGTCAAATGAAAGACTCGAATTTTCTGTCATTTTTTCCATAGAATTCGAACCATTTAATTTGCATCGGGTCGATCAAATAAATATTATTTCCACGAATTCCTTACCCATAGAATGTTCGCTATATGGGGTTGTATATCTGTATTCGAGACCCTACCTTTTTCTCGATTCAAGGCGAGGAACCCAGCGTTAGCGACCCTCGGACAATTACCCAAATCGATTAACGGCCTGAGAAGGTACATCAATCATAGAAGCAGGACAGATACCGCGAAATACGCACCATAAACGCGAATCTACGCGTAAATACAGACTGATGAAAGAAATATGCTGATGCTTCCTACGAGCTGGTTGAATTTCCGTGCTTTTAGTGGTTAACAAAAATTTTAATTCTCATCTACCATGATACCTTTTTTCACCTACACCTTGTTTTCCTTCCCATTGTTTTATATTTAATCACACTGGTACATTTTTTTAAACGATTATTAAAAAAAACTTATTTTATAATTCAAATAAAATCATAATTACGATGTAATTTAGAAAACGCGCGGTATTCGGGAAAAGCGAGGTTATGTGAAGCACTTAATTTAATTTTACGGCTAGCTGGGTTAAAATAAAATTAAAAAATGTTTCCCTTTTCGAGTGACGACACAAATTTGATGATATTTGTTCAAATTAGTCCACAAAGCCTATCTAATGTCCTCGGATGTTTGAATCGATCCTTGATTACAGAATTAAATCCTATGGTATCCTTTATTCTCCAGCAATTCTGTTCTCGATGCGAAGTTAAATTCGGAAATACTTATATCGTTCCTGCAACAGATTTGAAAAATAGAAAATGCAGTTAAACTTCCGTAGCTTCAACCGAGGATAAGTGCCGAAGAAAAAATTAATTTATCCCGTTATATTTCCGCAAAGGGAATTCTAACCGATTAATCTCGCAACTTCCAGGTATATTCTCCTTCTATCCTGCGTCACTTCTTGCTAACTGGAAGGAAATTCATAAATTCGACTCGTTCGTTTCGCTGCTATAAATCTAGTAACTACAGATTTCTCTCGGTCCACTGATCATTGATCAGGAGTAAGATAAAAATTTCGGATATCTACAAAAATTCCAATACACGAACTCAAAAAACACGATGTAAACTATTATCTGTGAAATATGACACGAGAAAATAGGAAACGTTGAAGCGAAGAGATACAATTATTCTTTTTAGATATTACTTCTAGAAGATACATCTAGTAACTTTTTAACACTGGAATTACTAAACTGGTTGAAATGATTGTGCCTGACTTTTCATTTTTACAATTACCTGATGTGAGTGTTTCTCGCAAAATTACTATACCTAATTTATCTATTTATCTTCATCCTATCACTGTCAATTATTATCCATACATGGTATATTTAAGTATATATTACAGATGGGCAGCTGTAGTATTAAACGAAAGTCAAACTTCCCATAAATATTCGTCGTTATACGATGAATACAGACACAATGAAAGCGTAGATTCAGCTATCGAATCCATCATCTCAAAATTTCAATCTGTCAAGCCTTCAGCCGCCTATCGTTCGTCAAATTTTCACCTGTACCATGCTGTTTTTGTTTCACTGTATTTCCCGTTCAAATGGGCTGCCACCGGTGTTTATCTTTATCCATTTGTTTAACAATCCAGGCTCACATGATAGCACTGAAACACGTTTGCTGCTTCTATTTTCTCAGCGAATTAATAGAGAACGGTTTAAAACGACTAGAAACATTACAGAAACAGAATACCTTTTTTTAAGTAGCAAGATATGAATTACTTTTCAGGATAGCATACCAATCCTAAAAAATTTGCAATGAATAAAATTATAAATAATGAAAATAAGTGAAATAAGTAAAGTTATTATGTTCTAATTTTTAAACCTTTCATTGACAAGTGCATGATTAATTATAGAATACTGGCATCATCTTTCTGGCTTAAGAATCTTTCAGGAAGGATGAATAAAAGTTCTGAATTGGCGTTAACCCCTTATTATGCCTGTTTATCCTTCTTTTCTTCTTTCCGAGATAAAAGCCAATGGTTTTGGCATCTCATACCTTTCTTTTTACCGTGAAACTATTTACTGGAGCGAATACCAGTCATTTGCATTATTCTCTGGTATGAAGATCCACTTATTAACGCTTTTGTAGATAATTTAGAAAGAAGGAAGGTATTCTTCAACTTTTTTCTTGAAATTCAGATCCATTCCACGTTTCTGCAAGTTTGATGAGAATTATTAACTGCTTTAATATCATTTGATTAATTATTGCGTAAACTTTCATAGGAGAAAATACGTCTCTATTAAAAATTTGAGAAATTTTATCAGTTTTATAAGTTCTTACGGAAGCAAGAAATGAAAATAATTAAGATATTCGTAATCCGTTATTACTTCGAGGGATTTTATTAAAGTAAATCAGCTTGGCTATCGAAACTTTTCGTAACTGTTGAAGCTTCTATGATTTATTAATTTCATTACGCCACTCAAGATTTTTTAAAGCTACGGAATACTCAAACTTCAATTAAAATCCAAACTCTGAAACTTTCCGTATTATGTATACACGCTCGTAATACCTCCAAATACTCTTGGATGAACCCTTCCCATTTTCACTATACATTTCCTGCTTCGACGTGGATAATGCTGATAAAAATGAACGCTATACGAAACAACGTTACACTGAGGTTTAAATTACGTAATAATTATCGCGGAACTCTTCCCTAAGGATGAAGAAATATTTAAGCTCCACTTTCCCTTATTTTACGGCCACCTTTATAATACGAAGGATCAATAATTTACGCAGCCTACATTTTTAACTACCACCCTTGAGAAATACTCAAAATGTTGCTGGTAAAAGATAAACGAATGTTCTCCCCTCTAGCGCCATCTTTCCTTCCTCCAAAAAATACACTCTTAAAAAAAACATAACCTAAAGTTTCAAAACGATGAATGTAATTGACGTAGAAAAATATCACGCGTAATATAGAATACATCTTTAAAAAATCGCAACATAACCTAACTGTAAAGACAAAAATTCTTCATTACGTCAAAATAATATTTAATATTGTTTCGCCAAGTTAATATTTGGGTATCACAGTCTTTCATACCCTCCTTCGCTTACACGCATGTATAGACACTCATGAACATTTCATTCCGAGCTATAAAGCGAGATCGTAAAATCAGTCGAGCGCAAAAGTATAAATGTTCAGACTTCCAAAACAGCAACTTGAGATATTCTGAGGGCGCATAAAGTTAGAGCGTCAAACAAAGCCATAGGATGTCCATTTGAAATGAATTTTTCCCTGCTGGGTATTGTTGACAATGGTCTACAAAAAATAAAAGTTCATTCGAAATATTAACTAGGATTTAGTGATAATAAATTAATAATAAAGTTTAACGAATTACGCTAAAATATTTTCCGCCTTATTACAAAACGTGAAAGTGACAGAATGATGGTCATCATTTCCTGGAACTACTTCAACCGAGCGAGACCCTGGGCTATATTTAGATTCGATGCTGGACCTATCGCGTGACACTTCGTCGACCAATGGCCGAATCTTTCTGTTTCGTTCCGATCAATTGATTCTCACTCTCTCGTTAAGGGGCAAGCGAATGAAAACAAAACGAGATCAGCGATTCCTGGAACACCAAATACCCTTGTCCGTATACGCGATCCAATCCAGAAGTGTATGTG